AATGTAGATATTTCAGTGATTTCCTTCACATGTTCTTGTTATGCTACATTGAATTTGGTTGTTGCCAAGTTTTGTTTTTTAGTTTTCTTCATGAGATAATTGCAGACAGTTCTTTATCATTTTGGAGCTATTTGGAGCTACTGTCAAAACCCCTGCTTGACCTAATTTTGGGATGATAAAATCTGGGAACAAAGACTTGCATTCTAGGTACAGCTTTTTGATGACAGTATTTACATCAAAAATATTTATCTGGATAATCACAAATACATCAGTTTCTTATGTTATTATAGCTGCATATTTGATTATAAAATCTTATGAAATAAGCAAGAACAATATTTATTCCACACTGCTGCTTGCCTTTCTTGGTAACATTTGTCTTTGATTTCAGAAAAATGTGATGTTTTCATTACTTCAGCCCCTTCAGTAGTACCTATTCGCAGACACAAACACATTCAGTCATTCTGACTTCTGACTAGCAAAAATTACATAGTGTGGAGTGCCACCCATTTCCTGTAACAAGGTTGAGAAGCAGATATGAAAGTAAACACAATGGAGCCAAGATTAAAAGCTAGTCTGTATATAAAATTTTACGTGATTATCAATATAGTTCAAGTTGTGCACTCACCCTCCACGTGTAAGAGGCTGCAGCTTTACGTTATTATCACTGTACCTTAGATTCTGTACTGCTGCCCACCTGAATGACTTGCACATAAAATTAACAGCATCATCCAGGTCTCCATTGGGTTTTCTGCGTTTCCAGCACTACTTTCATCTTATCATCATAATTCTGCTTAGAACAGAAGTTTTTTAACAGAAAAGGAATGTGGACCCAGTTAGGGTTTGGGGGAAAAGTGTGGATAATTATATATTGTATTGAAAAGGATGAGAGTATACTTTCACATAAATGTAAGAGGGAGTATGCCAGCAGTTCTAGTAGTATACTTACTTTGACTTTGAAAAATCACTTCTCTGTCAAAGTAAACTTACATTTACTTTGTGTAAAATGGGACAAAAATCAGCTGGTCAGCTTAATGTGAGATTATATGGAACTAAGCCAACTCCTAAAAACTAACCAGCAGAACCTCTACTGGTTCATTACAGCTTTTCTGCCTCCAAGATCAACAATTCCTCTCCTCCCCAGACCAAATCAAATAAGAATCCCTTAAGGGAAAATCTTAGCCACTGAAATAATCAATTGCATTCTTGCTGATTTCAATGGCATAAATAGATTTCACATTGGGATTTTTTGAATAACTTCTCTCTGCCTTACTATTGATTTTCATGGTTTATATTAATGACTACCTGAGGTCTGAGGTTCAACTGCCTGAATGAATGAGGTGGACAAATGAACAGGATGCCAAAAAATACTGTTAATTTTGCAAGAACAATGTAATGATATTGCTTTTAAATGCTAATGCTATTTTCAGGAGCTCAACAGCCCGAAGTACCTGCAAAGTCAGGCAATGTTCATTTAAACTGCTTTTGAAATAATTGAGGCATTTAAAATGTCTAATAATAATTTGACTGAAATAATAATGAATTCACTAAAATGAGAGCAATTGTTATCAGCAGTGAACTATCGTTGCTGGGAAATTACAGTTTATGGAGTTTTATATGGAACTCTGTTTTGAAACTATTCAAACCCATAATTTATCTGCCTTATTAGTAAGAACATATTAATCTACTCCAAACAGTGCCAATGTGTACTCTAGCAGACAAAAATTTGCTTCTTTGTAAAGATTAAACATATAGACACTTCCACACAGTGCAACTGTTTCCTAACTGTATATTTTAAAGATTCTTTCATGGGTAGGAACACAGTTTCCATCCCTTGCACACCACAAAATGCATATACTTCTTTCAAAAAGAAAGAGTTTAGTGTTATACTAATTAATCAAGGAGGGAAGGCTTTGCACATGTCTGCCTTATGGAAGTCTCTTTGTGAACTCAAAAAAAAAAAAGTTCCCCAGAAATTCATTAATTTATTCTGTGGTGTTTCTATTGCACTCAAAACTGTGGGTATGAGACGAAGATTTACTCCTAGATCACACTGGAAAATTACGGTCAAACCTTTCCTGTAACAGTTTATCTTCTCCATACTGGCTTCTATCCTTTTAAAATCCCTTGTTAATTATTTTGCCTTAATTCTTTTGTTTGTTCCATATTCTGGTTTCTTCTCATTTTGTGTTGCATACACTAAGAAGATTAAAAAGATTAACCTCTTTTTCTTGATAGTTAACTGATTGATAATACAAAAGATAGGAATGCTTTTTAGAAAGATAAATCTTTGAACAATGGCATAGACTTACCTAAGACATGGGATACTATCCTTCATCGTTCCTTCACATGCTACAGTGTTGGTACTGCCTGAAAGGCTCTTTAAAGAAGGAACCTGGGAGGAGGCATCTGGAAATGGAGGAATTATTTCCGGTTCAGGAGTAATGATATCTTCTACTTCATACTGAAGTCGTACCTCTAATGACTTAAATAAATAAAAAGCTAAGTTATAATTTAATAAAGAAAGCTGCTGAAAGTTCTATTATTTTCAAATAAATAACAGTAAGCCTTTTTAAAAAATAACCCCCCACATTTATCATTATCATTTGCAGGCAAAGAATACTGTCATTTGTTATTTATGCAGCCTAACAGCAACATCAGATAGGAACTAGTCATCTGCCCTGTGCTGATGGAGAAATACATAGGTATATTCTTCCAGTGCTCACTTTGATTCAAGCCTTTTATTGTAAGTGAAAGGCAAGAACACAACTTTCCAGCATTTATTATGAAAAGAGAAGTTAATCACTCACCCCCAAATAAATAATATTTTGGCAAAAGAAGGCATCATTCAGGATAAACGCCATGAAAATTTTCCGCCTATTGTCTGTTATCTTTTTCCTAAGCAAATTTATTAAAAGAATGATCATCAACTCTGCCTCCTTATTGCTAGTATAACAGAGTCTCTACAAGACAGGTTTTAGCCAGCATGCAGAAGCCGGACAGTGTGGGTAGTACTGATGAACGAACTTAATTTGGCCATAGGTGGGGGTCAAGAAATCAGAGATAACAGCACAGAGAGTTCCGTGTTCCTTAGACTGAACAGGAGTTTGGCAGATTCTAGAAAGCAAAGTTCAAACCAGTTACCTTTTGCTTTCCTTCAGGGCTCTCTAGATAGGGAAAAGGAGACCAACCGGCCCAAACACCCTTCAATTCTTTCCACTAATTCAGGAAACCTTAACTGAAGGACTCCAAAACACAGGGGAAACTGGACAGGGAGCTCAAATCTATATAGGTAATCATCTCAAAGAATCACAGTAAATATTGGGCAATTCTTTCTACCTCATGAATTGTCCAAGGAGATCCCTATTTTAAAAAGAATAAAAACCAAGGTACAGCCCTCAAAGAGATAAGGTCTTGGGATTACTAACTGAATAGTAATTTCAGTGCTGGCACCTTGAAGTGATCAGAAGCAATTGCAGATTTAGACACTGCAAACTCCATCTTAGTTAGGGATCTCTCACTGAGACATCATCACCAGAACAGAGATGACAGTATTAAGAAAATACCTAAGTTTTATAAGAATTGGGAGATAAAGATCAGTACTGAAAACTCTCCTATTTCTGAACCATTGTGTTAAAACATAAGATTTCAGAAAGAAGTGATTTGTCTCAATCAGAATAGAAAGAGTCCTTTCTCAAAATGTCACTTTTGTTTTCTCCTTGCAAAATCCATGGATATTTTTGGCCTGAATCAGCTAAGAAACCTATGGACAACGTTCGCCTTCAAAGACTAATGAGTGAAATATTGAGTTCAGGAAAATCTAATCTCCTGGAATTAATTGCTGCTGACCAAAAAAATTTATAATACTGTTTAATCTTCATGCAGGACTGGAGTAACTGTTGACGAGTGTGTTCTTCTGCTTGACATGTTAGAAGTGCATCATTCTTCTTTGGATGTTTTCTTTGTGTCTTCCTTTTTCTACTAAAATTCATTTTGTTAAGCTATAGCTACTGTCCATTTGCAGAGTGAAGGAAAAATTTAGGCTAATAACATGACTGTGAATTTTTTTTTACTTTTTGGTCCCTGCTTTGACTGGGCCTTGGAAGGGGTACAGACCTGCTGTACCAATTTATTTTGACACACGGTAAAGATCTTTTCGGAGGATCCCATCACCAGGTTCATTGATTTTCCTTTCTACATTCAAACTAGTGTAAACTTTTTTTCCGTGCTTCTTGTCAAGAGCTTTGGAGGAGCTTCACTGAGGAAAGACTGATCACTGAGAAAGTGATCATGTTTAACAGACACCTAGATATCCTTTAGAGACAGGACGGAGTAGATTCAGATGAAAAAGCAAGAACAGCAACAGCAAATGCTTTTTACATAACTGCATGGCAATGACTCCAAGGTTGGAAATGAAGCAGAATTTGTCTCATGCATACTACTTGCCTCCAGAATCTGATATGGAATGATGCAAATAATACTTCTACTGAGGAAATCCCAGGCACAGCCTATGCCTCTAAGGCATATTCAGCAGCAGACTTCCCTGCTACATGGAGAAACCTTTGAGTAGCCTCCACGCTTCCCGTTTACCATAGCAATAACATTACAAGACTGACGTCAGGCAGACAAAACAACATGGGGTCCTTAAAATGCTGGGTTCTGTAGACTGAACTCAGGGTGAGTTCAGGCTGGCTGCTAAAAAAGGGAGGACACTAAGTGCTAGAACTTGGGCTCACCTCAGGCGGGAAAGAAATCCTGAGACTGACCAGCTCAGTCTCAGTACAAAGCCAGACAGCCCAGGTACATACTCCAACAAAGACTCCCATACTTTTTATTAACACCATCACCCCCCGCCATTTTAAGAGTGAAGACTTGAATGCTTGCAGCTAAAATGTGGAAACCAAGAGATGAGGCCCATCTCAGGGATGCACAAAACCCAGGGAACTCAGTGACTATACCACCAAGACTAGGTAATATTAAAGCAACTCTTCAGAGAACAATTCCTCATACAAATGCTTCTTAATTACAGAGGAAATCTAAGAAACTGTTAAACTGCACATATTACAACACTTTAGAAAATACCGGTTCTGATGCAATTCAGCCACAAAAGTAGAAGACATGAAAATAAAGACATCAAATGATAGGTAATAAAAAATAAGGTGCATTTGCTATGGAATGATGTAAGAATACGGAAATGTAGTAATTTTAGCAGCATTATACATGATCTGGTCAGTAACATGAAATTACTGTTCATTAATTTTAAAACTTTCCTGAAAGGATACGTTCACCTAGCTTAATAATTGCCTCTGGGGGGAAAAAATGAGAGGAAAACAACAGAATGGCTATAGGTAATGAATTTCCTTACCAGATGGCACATGGCTACAGGCCAAAAATGACACATGTTTTTGCCAGGCTAGAACTATAGACTTTCTAAAGTACATTAAAATAGTGCGAAAAGGAAAAGAACTGTAATCAGGGAAGGTGGAAAATGAAAGGGAAATTTTGGGTCAGCCCATGGGGTTTGTTGAGAGCTGGCAGACACAAATAAATACTTTCTGGCAAGAGAGTGTCTGCAGTTGCAAACTGTTCTCCAGCACCAGAGAATGAAGGAGAGGCAGCCATGTTTAGTTTGGCTTTGCCTTAAGAGTAGTCTCCTGTTAAACTTATTAGACTTAAGAAAGAATATTTTACATTATAAATGCTGTTCAGCCACACTGTTAGCAGTGGTTGTGGCTCCCGTGCAAAAATGCAAGGTTTAAACCAAGAAGTCAGACTTGCTGTACAACAACGATAAGTACAAGGCGACTGCAGTGCCATTAAAAGAATATGAACGGTATGATTCTATCTGAAATAAGGTGACTGCTTAAGACATGAAGACAGAAAAAGGAGTATTTGAACAGGATAGAGCAACAGAAAGCTTAGGAAAATACCAAGTGCTTAGCCATTAATAATCTGGCATTTCATATAGTGTCCATTTTTAGGGAAACAAAGTCAGCATAAGCCAGAAAAAAAATCAACTCTTTATTTTGTTAAAGCCAGTGATAATTTTCAGTCCCCTTGTGGAACAAACACGACGAACATAAATTAAAGAGATTAAATACTTGAGTTAAAAAGAGCATTATTAAGTACATACAGAATGCACATTATCTGCTAAAATATACAGCAGCCAGTATTTTTAGAGCAGGTAAGTACAACAGAGATTTACTGTATCATAAAGTCCTAAAAGCAAACTGTGTCTGAAATCTGTACTGTATGTTACTATTAAAGAAAAAAAGTGCAGAGCTGGCTCCCAAAACCTCAGATTTTTGTCAGTAACTGAAGCAGGATCAAAATTTCACTCAAAAGGTTTAAAATGGAATGTCCCAAAACCTATATTTATACAGCTTGATATTAATTTTATTCAAGTATATAAGCACAGACATAGCAAGGCAATTTGATTTAGAATTTATGTTCTTTTATAAGAAAGTAAAATTCTGGAGGACTTACTGCAATTTCAGTATTTACTTCATGTTTGCTGAACCTGTAGACAACTACATATGCAGAAACTCCTGCCACACAGAAAATTCGGCTTTCAGGACACCAGTACATCATCTGAACAGCAAAAGGATCTTCTTCTACAATCTCAGCTGTTGCTTTTCCTTCTCCCAGTTTCTGTTTTTCAAAGACCTTTGATGTTTTTAATTTGTACAACATCTGTAGAGTAACTGGAATATATTAAAACATATAAAAATACTGACTAACATGAATCAAATCAGTTATAAAATTCCTTTGTTACCGTTTTCTTTTCAGTTGTGGCATAACAAAGAATCTTATGAGGCCTAAGAGGAGAAGAAAATGGGTATTATACAATACAGATATTATTCTGGTACACAGTACTGGTAGGATACGTATTTAATATTTCCAAAACGGATATTTGTCTGTGAAATACTTCTTCGTACTTTCTGGGACAGGATGTCAAAGGTGTATGTTAACTATTATGTCCATAATTAGGCTTATACTCAATGTTATAGAGAGGCTCTGATAATGCTGCTACCTTCCTAATGAGATAAGAAACTAAGATTTCATTTGTCTGAGGTTATTGTCTTGCTAGAATGTAAAGACTGTATGGCACTTCAAGAGAAAGCGTTAGGAAAGTGTTCTGGTGGCCTGGGCAACACAAAGTCTTCATGAACAAACATGAGTTCTAAAACGCTTTGAATTTCTTGACTCATAAGTATATCTGTATTTATACCTGTATATAAAACCTTAATATCCAGAAGCCTTTGTCAAGACTAGATCTCCACTGCAGTGAATTCTGGAGGCAAAGGAGGGATTATAAGGAACCCTATTTTGTTTTATTGACGTTCCTCCCTATTTTTTACTACTTTAACATTAATTTATCAGTGGCATTAATTAATAACTGCAAAAGGTCAGAAAAAGACAGTCAGGCCCAGCAACTATAAAGATGTGTATATACATAAAGGCAAAGCTGTTACATATGTTAGTGCAATTGTGGTAGATCAGACTAGCTAGCTTGTGTAACAAGAGCAACAAAAAGATGGAAGAACGGTGTTTTAGTTATGTAACCGGATGACGAACACAGCAACATTACATTTTCATTTTGCAGTGCAGATATATTCCAGGAGTTTAAGCATATAACATTTTTTATATTTTTAAAGTTTTAGCATATAAAACGCTACCAAATTTTCACAAATTACAGCAAGTGCTTCTGTAATGAATACATAATTCTTCCTGCCTTCTGTGGTGGTGGCAGAGGCCTCAGGATGCCCTTAGTCCCAGGAGCAAATCTAGAGTAGCACTTCAAATCAGACATCACAGGTCCATGCATACTAGGATTGGAAGAATTACAGAATCACAGGGCACAAGCACAAGGCGAGACTCTATGCTTCTGTGAATTACTAGGCACAAGGCAAATAAGAAACAGCAATGGCTTTTGAACAAAGATACATTTGGAAAACTGCTTCAGTGGTTTAGCAATTCCCTGTCTCCCACAAATCTGTGCTTTCAGATACAAAATTACACAATTAAAATATGTCTAAAAGCAAAGTATTTTGTGCCTTCAAATACCAGTAGGATATTATGTTTGCTATGAAATCTCAAATGAAATTTGAACTCTGTTAAAAAAGTTAAGACCTTGTAAATAATAAAAATTTGTAATAATTAAAACCTTGTAAATAAAAAGTACCAAGTATGGTACCAATAATGCAGTACATGCCCTGAAAAGCAGGATTAAGGCCAGGACATCAGAGATGCACTGAAAGTAGCATTACTGTTGAAGGGATTGTGAATATTCATGATCATCTAAGCTTTTACTTCTAAGAAAATTTCCTGTTGCAGCGTGTACATACTGATTAGTGGGTTATGTTTGTATTTCCTATGAGAAGTTTTTTCCTTTCCCCATTCCTGCCAGAATTATAGAAGAAATGACTAGCATGCTGATTCCTGTGCAGCATATACACTAAATGCTTTGGGGTCTTGCAACAGTCTGTATTGTTTCACCCTAATTTTAACGCCTGTGTTTGCACACTCTTGTCAAGGGCGCAAGTATATAATGAAATATGCACAAGACAAGGTCTAATACCTCACACTACTTCTTTGAATAAAAGTCATTATCCTGTTTTTGTTCATATTAAAGCACTCTCAAACTTCTGTCTTTTCAGATAAACTCCTGTTGAGCTCATTAGAATTTTTTTCTTTTTGGTGTTTATCGTAACTTGAAAATGCTGGAAGATGTAAACTTTAAGCAGCATGTATCTGTTTTTCCTCCATTTCCAAATAGACAAATTATATAATAAAAACCCAACTCCTAGTTGTGTTCAGTTGACATGCCTATGTAAAATTCCTTTGTGATTGAGGCTTTGGAAATCATAGAATCGTTAAGGTTGGAAAAGACCCTTAAGATCATCGAGTCCAACCGTTAACCCAGCACTGCCAAGTCCACCACTCATTTTCTCCTTGTCCAACCTGATGAGTGAAAATATTTGGTATTAGGCGAAAAGAGAACTACCTGACAAAGTCATCAGGTTTAGCTGACATGAAAATCTTGTAAACATTCCCCATATTTGGCTGGACATGGTAGCAGTATTTATCATTACAATTCTGTGGCACAATGTGGACGTAGCAGGTAGTTTAAGTATCTCATACTCTGTGTTCTTGGTGACCATGACAGACTGGTTATTAGGGTCAAATTAAATCTGTCTATGCCTAACGTTTCATACAGAAGTTTCTTTCACACTCTCTTCTCTTTAAGAGACTGGTACCTTGTAAAAGAGATATTCTACCCAGACATCCCTGTACCACATGAGAGACAGAATACAAGGCAACTCTACTGCAATTTTTGTGAAGGATAGTCACATTATTTGAACCAGAATATTTTAGCTTTCAACCAAAATGTATGTATATTTTTGATAAATACATTTTACTGATAAGTACCATATGTATTTTCTGTAAGGGAAAATGCTGGGTTTTCCTATGTGTAGTTATAGCTAGAATGTATGGAACAAGTAGTTTCTGAAGCTTTTTCCTGGTAGAATGAATGGAAATGCTTCCCAATTATTTCCTGAAACCTGAGGCTGGACAAGAAAAGATTTAGGTCTTCTCCATCCTCACCAGTTTAGACATGAATTAAGATGTATTATTGTATTTTAATATTTTATTTTTACTTAGCTGTAAAAAAGACTATATTGTACTCAGAATAGGAGAGACATGACAACTGGAACTGAATATTAGGTCTAATTGAGCCCACTCTTATACACACAGGAAATTTTTGCCCTAGGGAATTTTTACCAACACTTCATCCTTCACAGGTTTTGGTATGTTGGATCTGGAGTTTTTATTCCTCTTACAGAATTTCACTCTTTTCTCTCTAATACATCTCATTAGCAGTGTTTTTTTTCCTAATTTAATAAAAATTTGCCTAATTTCACTTTATTATTCCTGATCATATCATCCCAGGTATTACTACTCATACTGCTAAATATCACGTTTTATATATATATGTGTGCGTATGATTTGTCAGCATTATATAAAAGTGAACTTTAGAAACTTACTGGCAGAAGCATCCCAAAACTTTACTGATCCATCTGCATGGCTTAAAAAAATATAAAAATTAAATGTGTTAAAACAAGATGCAATTCTAAAACATCTTCTACTTTCAGTGAGTGATAAATATAAGCAGAAAAACTGTATTTTGCTCATGTGGTAACTCTCCATACCTTACTGACAATATATAAGGATATATATTCTAACTATAAGAAAATATTTTGTTATTAGTTTGATTAGGTTAATAAAATACTTTTTCATGCATTTCCTACAGAGAACTAAGTCCCCAATGAATTTTAAAATCTCAACAGCAAGAAATTCATTCTCATACTAATGACAAGTTTAAGTTACAGCACTTTTGGCTTTGCAGTGGGCCAGCATTAAGCCTATGCATTCTAAAAATGCCGTGTATAACGAGCTTTGAAAAGACAGAGGGTAACTTCATTTTGCTTAATACCTTACAGCTGTGTTCTATTTATTAACAAAATAATCATCCCTGAAGTAAAGCTGGAGAAAGGAGACATTTCTGTTTAAAATGAGAATAATCCTGTCATCACCTTATTGGTACTATTGCACACATCATCATCATTTTTAAAAACAGGTGTTAATTATCATTGATAATAACAATTTATCAAATATATTGCTATCATCAGCATGGCTGAGACCAGAGGGAAACACAGAGTGCATCATAGCTGAATAGCTTCTGTTTTACAGCATGGCCCCTTGAAAATCCATCAGGCATTGCTCATGGGGCTTCTACTGCAATCTGAGCCTTTCTATGCCTTTTTGCTATGGGGCTGTCTCTCCACTCACAGGGTGAAACTCATCCCAGTGCACCACACCCTCACTAATGCTGGAGTGTTAACATGAATTCCTAAACTGTCCCCAGATACAAAGTCCCCCGAAGGCAAAGGACAGCTATAGAAGAACAGCCGCTCCCCTTTTTAAAACTATTCTCTATGTCCTTCAAGGCCAAACTAGTCTCTTGCAATGGATTCTCCTTTCCAAAGACCCCACCTTCACATGTATACAGACCTGCTGTCTAACACTGGGGCCTCAAATGGTAATTCTTAATGGTAGTTCATCCCCGAGTACAAAGTTCTATCTTCTACAGCAAATGGGAATTTCTGTGGTGACTGCACAAGGGAAAAAACTACGTACCTCAAATGAAGAGGCCAGGACATGCATGCTCTGTGAAGGGTCAACTCTTATCTATAGCTAACCCACAATCAAAAGCTGTAGACACTAGCATTTTAAAAGTACCAATCCTCAGTTTCATTCTCACCCTGTAATAATGATTTCGGGATATGTCTGAGCTCCAAGGTTCCATGCTCCACCACTGATAGGCCACTCCTAAACAAACAAGAGGACAGAGATCACAACTCATTCTGATGAATCTTGCTCAGTTGATTTTTAAACTCAGGAGCAGACAACATCTTCCTCCAAAAAGCAATACAACTCATAAAAGGAAGAAAAATGTGTGGCATTCAAGGCTTTTAAAGCTTATTAACATTTTTATATTATCAATTAAGGCTTTGGAAACTTAATAGCATTTTTATGTTATCAATTAACGTTCTATGTTTTTAAAGTATTTCTGCACAGCTAACACTCAACAATCCAAAACAGGAACTAGAGGAAGGAGTGACAAACAGTTCTGCTATTCTTTTCAGATTGCTTGACTCTTGGAGTTTCTATAGGACACTGAATAGACTGAGAATCTATTTTGAGGATGAAGACTACTGAAGAAGCTGGCCCAGAAACAAATATCTGTGCATGATGCCACGAGATATGAGATAAGGGAATGCCACTTTACAGAACACGTGAACTCACCACCTCTGCCTTGTGTTTACTAGTGGAGAATACTTCTGTTCATATGAACAGAAAACTGATGATGTCTGATTTGTTTACCCAATATTTTTTCTAATTTATTTATTATGATGGATTAGTTTTACTCAATACATAAACAGATTAATACTTGAAATTTATAAAATAATTGCATTTCCTCTTTTTATTTCTGCAGCTTGTCCTATTTCTAAAAGCATTATGTTAAGACTTTGGTAGCTCAGTAAAATAATTATTAATATTCCTATTTAATAAAAATCTCACAGACGTGCTGTCAACCCTCAACTTTCACTGAAGCTCTTGTGCTATCTTCTTTCAGTTATAATGTTTTCACTTTTTTCTTTGATAGAGATAACTTATCCATACAAATTTGAATTGTACACCAATGGCTTTCCTTTAACTCAGGCTGATCTGGCATGACTCCAGCAGCCAAATGATTAAGTCCTATATAATGGTCATTAGTGGTTGTGCTTAAGTGATGGTGTTTCTGAGGGACAAATACCAGACCGTAAGCATGCTGCTAAGCTGCTGCTTGGACCAACTTGAAAGTGATTATTAAAGAAGTAAAATGAAAATAATTTGGTAAGATGTTACAAAAACATAGGTTCTACATCTACTTTCTTTGTTGAAAAAAATATTGGTTTTCTTTACCTTATTGCTGTATCCTTGCTTTTTATGTTTTGCTCCTACAGAATAGAGTACAGGAATCAAATCTGGAGGACAGTCCGCAAAATATTCTGTGCAGGTAACAGGTGACTCATGAATGTCAATAGGATATGGATTTTCAAAGATTGGAAAACTAGTCAAGGAAGACAATTTATTAGAAGCACTGTGACACACTGAGCCATAGAACAAAACAAATTCTTATATTAAAGTGTATAACAGAATCTAAGTGAAATCATTACTAATAAAGTACATTTTCCCTTATTTATTCAGACATATGTATTGTTTTTAATGTCAATAATAATGTGTAGTTACTCAAATAAAGATATAAAAATTCCACTGCTGTGACAAGAATCTTCTTGTAACATAAATACCCGTTCATGTGAACAGTTCCTAAGGCTAATAGGACTACTCGTGTGAATGAGGATTAGGAACTAATTTTTCCCAACATCTCAAAATCTTGTTTATACAGAAGTGACACATTTTCTAGAAGCTTCAGGTTCATGGATATAATATATACTATGACCTAAGAACTACTTATACAACTGTAGATTTTATATTGAGCAGCTTAGTTTATTGGGCTGGCAGACTGCTGATTCTACAATGAACAATTGCAATAACAGATGAAGTAGATCTCGGTTTATTTCTCACTTCCATCAGTTTGGACGGTCTGATAAGAAGGAAGGCCTCACTTCTGGCATATTACACGATGTTATTGACAATTCAAAAATGTAGCAAATTTGGTTCTGATTTCAGTTGCATCCATTTTATATTGCTAAGATGATTTGAATTGTCCTTGAAAGTAAGTGAGATCAGAATATGATTCACTTAAAATATTTCAAGACATTAAGGGCAAAAATCTGGTCCTAGTTATACCAGTGTGAATGTGCATGTACATTACTGGTAGTGTTGGAGGCAGAACAAAGTACGTAAGAATTGGATTCTGCATTACGTGATGTATAGTTCCTCTTTGATATGAACATTGATTCTGATGTGAAAGAACTATTTGTCTTTTAAACCAGCAACTGGATCATGAAATAATCCTGTAGATCCACTATAAATTAATGCCATTATTTATTATGATACTTAAGTAAATACTTAAGTGGTAGTCCCTGTGGAGTCTAGAGAAGTTAGGCATGCATATAAGTAGCAGCTGAATCTGGTTTCCAAAACACACATTCAGGTCATAGTTCAGCATGTGACCAAGTACGACTTAACTTCAATGTTGAGTGAATGTTTGAGGGCTATGCTGAAGGGACCACAGATTCAGATTTATTCCCAAACTTAAGAACAAATATTATTGTAAGTTCCTGTTGATTGGCTGATCTTAGCTCTTAAAGTGGAGGTAAACATTGTGAATTATTACCAAGAGTGAATGATTTTGGATAGTAAAATGACATTGCATGATAACATTTGGATTTTTATCATCATTTGCTGGAGAGTTAAGATATACAAATAACTTCATAGAAGACTTCATACTTACTTGCTTTGTGTCAGGTCAACAACAATGAGGTCTTTTTCCAAAAGCACTACTACAGCATAGGGTTCTTGAAATTCTGTAAGCGAGGAATCAAGTATAAAAGACATGGAGTTCTCCTATTAGTCATTTTAAACAAGCAAGTCATGTTTATGTTCTCTAAACATTCACAGTATATTAAACGAAAGTTTTGAGGTACAAATCCTAGACATATCCACAAACTAGACACATCTGCAAACTAGGGGCAGATTAGGGCTAGACAGGAACTGAGAAATGACTTTTGGGCAGTATTGCTGATCAACATACATAGCAGAAGTAGAACTGGCATATTATAGCATGCCAGCATGATGGTATATTGAAAGTAAAGAAATAGAATATGAATAAGTTGAGTGTATTACTGCATTGCTGAATCCAGTTATACAGAACATGTATTTTTGCTGTCCAGTAGTAATACTTCTGCTGTGTACAACTATTCTTCAAAACCAGATCATGAACAGCTGGTCCTCTCCACTTGAAGATACACAATGCCCTCGCTTCCAAAGCGATTCCAAAGGAATGTTCCAAACGAAACCTGTAAGTCTGCTGTGTTCAGTTCAGATACTGACATGCTCCTTCCTCCCACACACTCTTTAGGAGACTATATCGTTTGGTTTTTTACGTAATGCTTTTTTCATTTATCAAAAATAAACAATTAAAATGACAAATAAATGCTTCCCTTGAGACACAGGGTGCATTAGTTTACATAGTATAAAACTTATTTAAAAAAATATAAATGTGAAATTACAACTCTCTTTTCAACAGTAGCAAACCATTCCAGCATATGCAAGCTCAGAGTACACTCTTCAGATGGCTGATGCCAAAAAGCTGAGTAAATTGACAGCAACTGATTTACCTTCCTTTCAGGCCAGCTATGAATGCACATTATCTGTGGCCTGTTTTTATACAAGACTATGAATAACGCAGGTTAAACCAAAATTTTTAAATATTAGTGTGTGAGCAGGGGAAGGGGCTACAAAATCTTAGTACTGGGAAGTGACACTGTATTTGATACAGTTAAATGAAGGCCCAAACTAACTGATTACTGAAAATTAAATTTTTGCATGACATTGAAACAAATATACACTTTATCTTTACTAAGTGTTTTTAATATGTATTTAATTTAGCTCCTTATATAAGATTTATTTTACTTTTCTGCTTAAGGACTTAAAATGCTAAACTTAGTTTCTTTTTGACTTACAGGTTTTCTGAATTTACTTTCTGGAGTTCTCTGTGAATGTACTTCAGAGTATGGCAGCCCCACGATATGCAGCAAAACACTTTTAACAGTTCAATTCAGCTGAAGTGTAAGAACTTTTTTGTAGATAAGTGGTAGTTTAATCTTCAATAATTTACCAATCTGTAGATTTTCAGCCTCATGAAAATTGTCAGAAATATGAGCACATATGTTTGATTAATAGCAATATTTCCTCACACTACCCCATGTGTTTCAAGTGTATATCTGGAGATTTATGCATGCTTTATTGTCCACTCATTACTTGCTTCCTATATGAGAATGCGAACAAGTTCCAGTTACTTTCAGTGATGTGGTTTTCTTGAGATGGAGACAACTGTGAGAATGGAAGTCCCTGGAATGGAATTAAGGTATGAGAGAAGATCACTTCATTTATATTTTCCATAACTGTGTTTTGCTTAATAAACTCACCGTTTGGATATGGGGTTTCACAAAGAGTTAAAAAGTCAACTATAGGGTGATCCATTTCAAGAACTGTAATTGCTTTCCCATGCATGATTGTTAAACTTGGTCTTCGGCAAGCCTTATCATATGACAATCCACCAGAAAATATCACAAATGGTTCACTGTATTAAAAAAAACAACATGGTAATTTTAAGTTTTCATAGTATATACAAGTTTACATGATAACTTCAGTACTTTTAAATAATAATAAATAGTTTTGCAAAAAGAAAGAGGGAAAGTTTCTAAAAGGACTTTAACTCAGGAATGTAACATTGAGTTAATTACAGAATTAAAAACATACCTGTTTTTACAGGTCTTGTACTCTACTTTAAGAATTGGTTTACAAGATTCAGGTTTTTTTCCATCTCTTTGAATTTTTCCTAAGGAAAGAAAGAAGATGAAAACTGTATTAAAACATCATGATAATAGAACTATCAAACTGAAACATACACATCGAAGCAACTGTATAAACAGTAAGAGAACTGAACTTCAAAGCTACAGAAGATAATGAGTATTAGCTCCTATTTCTGTAAAATATGCATTTGTCTACATTAATTATGGCTTTATGTTTTTACTGCCACATACAAAGGACCACAGACCACACTTCAAAGACATCTAAAAACCATGCAGATTACTGAGAAGGATGACACTTAACTAATAATTAATGAATTTGACCAAATGTATACCTTTTTTCTGAACACATTATGACCATAAACATCTTAATTTTTTCCTAAGTCATTCTTAGATTGACTTAATTCCTTTTGTTGACCAAATGTTACATGCTCTGGAGTGTAACTAGTTGAGTGATAAAATTAAATGAAGCGTACAATTGAAATTCATGGGTTCATGGTTAATTGTGGCTCAGTACTTTCTTCCAGTCAGCAAAAAGTCACTTGTAAACCAAAAAAATAACGATTTTGGTTTTGTTACTTTGGAAAGCCTATGCTTGTTTTCAACAACAACCTGAACGGAGGATACAGTGTAGATGGAGCCATACTGTTCTCAGAGGTGCACAGTGACATGGCAGGAGACAAAGGACTCAAGTTGCGACATGGGGAATTCTGGTTAAATATTAGCAAAAATGTTTGTATCGTGAGTGTCATTAAATATCGGAAGACATTGCCCAGAGAGGTTGTGCAATTTGTTGTTGGAAGTGTTCAAGTGTCCAGTGTCAACTGGACACTGCCCTGAGCTAACTGATCTGATCAGGCCTGTTTTGAGCTGGGGGTTAGACTAGATGACCTCTGAGAGACATAAAGCACAATTCTGCAACTAAAAATGATAAAATAAAAGGAATTAGGAAATTTAAGAAAATGCTAAAACTTTTCTGGGCTACATAGATCTTGCTTTCCCCTTCTTTCTTCCTCTCCACCCAGTCAAGCTTCTTGGTAATGTATTGATTTGCCATAGAGTTAATACCTTTTAACCTCATTTATAGGAAGCAATGGCATATAATGTCCCAGCCATAAAAGATACAGCCATTTCTTAATATGGCTCCTTTAAATTCTTCATTGCAGTGACTTGGGAAGCCTTGTACCATCTCTATAACAAGCAATACAGTACCTTGTACAAAATGTGTTACTTCTTGTGAAAATTGCACATACAAGCACATAAGCACAAAACATAAAAGAAAGAAATGTGAAAATCCCAAAGCCTGAGGGTGTCAACGACTAGCAGTAGGCTATTAAGATGAATTGTATAAAAGAAGACATTAGAGCAATATTACTCAGTAGGAGGTATTTACGACACCAATTAAAAAAAAGTTTGATCAAAATTGCTCTCTGATTTTTTAAATATTTTGCAGCTACTTTGCAGATTAAAATATTTATGCAAGAAGCAACTCTGGATTTGGGCTACAATAAAAAAGGAAATAAACATAGATATTAACAAACAGCATGGAGAATATGGTATTGCTTCTTAGTTACACATTTTAACTATCAAAATTACCATGTGGAATTGTGGTCTGGAATGGTCTGTTAGGACTTTTCAGGTTCCATAGGGTCAAGCTGCCATCAGAGTGACTGCACATGAATTGTTTCCCTTCATGATGCCAAGCAACAGAATGAATAGCCTAGAGAAATGAAACAAGAACTTGAGACTGAAATGGAATACAGCGTTTACACTAATGATACTTTAATGTATGACTTTGGATTATATTAATCTAATGGTATGTCAACAGTTGAATGGTTCTTGTTTGTCTGAAGTCCATTACCAGCACTTTTTAGTAACCAAGGGCTGTAATCTACTGCTAGTGAAGCAAAAGAATTCATTATAAATGCTAACATAACACAAGAATGTAAGAAAGCCTGTACTGAATCAGACCAAAATTGAAGGAACAAGGTATTGAGGTAAAAGTATAAGAACAAGGGACACACAGTGTAATCATAATATGTCTGATAGCTCTCCTTAGAAGTATTTCATCTGGCAAACATACGGGAAATTCTGTGTGACAAGTTTTACAGGTAACATACAACACATGCAGTCTTCCCCAGAGGACTATTTAGGAAAAGTAGAAATAGTACACTGTTCTTGAATAATTTCCCCCCCCCCCCCCCCCTTAAGTTTCAGAGCAAATACACATCAATCTGGGATGTTTAATATAAAAACAAAACCACTAAAGAGAGCAAGGTTGTTTCATTGATATAGGAAATTAGCAAAAAAATGATGCGAGATACTTTTGGAACAGATACTGCTTCAGAGAAGAGGAATATCGCACTTCTATGTACACAATGCAAGTACCACATGATGAATGTTGTGGATGCCAAAAAGCAACACTTCAAAAATTAATAAACCATTCTTAGTATTTCGTGCGTAATTGGTGGAACTGACTGAAAACATCCATAATTACATCAAACTAGCTGAAAGGATAATGGTGTAAGTCCTTCATTTTCACTGGTATGTGCTGGAAACTAACAAAAACCATTTTCTGGCAAAACAAAGTATTGCTTCATTGTATACCACAGTTTCTCACACACTCCCCTCAGAAGCACAAACTCATAGAATATTCCCTTGAATCCATTTCCCTTCCAGAAATGTTAGCTGCCAAATAGCAAAAAACACAGTATGTTTTTATGTAAATGTAAATAAGAGAGACCTATTTTTAAATACAGTTTAATAAATTTCCATTTTTGTAACCCAGGAAATGCTAAGGCCTTGCATGCACTTACAATGCAACATGGCCATTTACCTGATTTATTCAAATCACTTTAAAATCATGCCAGGGTATTCATAAGTCAGCATTGGAGTTGTTCATATCAATTTTGCTTAAGCTGACAAGAAATAAACCAAAGTGCTACTGGTCGCTATTCAAAACTCCCTGTTGGTCTTCCTCTTTTAATAAGTATATCGATGGTTACGGTTGGTAATGGCTCATGGTCTGGAGGGAATATCAGAAGTAACCAACGAAAAGACAGTGACCCTTTCCCAAAACTTAACTCAGCTCCTGAGGCTGGACAGCATAGCTACAAAGGGGCCTTTGCATTAAGGTGACCCAGATGTTTTAACAGGAATCTGACGTGCCTCGTGTATGGATGCTTTGCTAACACACCAGTAAGCTAGTCATGCCAATAAAGACTCAACAAACTGAGCTGCACAAAATGAACTCTAGATATTTATTTTCGAGTGACATAATGGGCGTCACTCAAACTTCTACCTACCAGAGTGGGGTTGGCACACAATTCCTCTTAAAGACCCAGAAGACACAACTATAACTGAAGCAACAAGACAACACAGAAAGATGGTTCATACAGAGTCCAATGCCATTGCCCTCAGGTAGTAAGAACTTAGATCTGTGGGGAGCGCTGCTTCACTTGCACTGAAGGCATGTCTATCCTCATGCAAATCAGTTCTGACATGAGCTCATTCATGCTTGCTATCATGCCAAATTTGAATCTGCTTTTGATGTGTTATCACCCATAGAAACATTTCACATGGTTACAGTCGCTAACTGTGTCTGAGCAGGAGCTAGTAACTAGCAGCTGAAAATTGTACCAAGCTGCTTGTTAAACTGCCTCTCAGCTGCTAGGTGCCACCCGCCAGCACAAACCTCCTGCTGAGCGGAGCTGAGGCGGAACGCTCCTGTCACAGACTGCTGGCATAGCAGCAACTCGAATTCACCTGTTAGACTTTGCCCCAAAACAGGCAAGAAATACTTAGAAGTGCTTTTGGAGGTCTCAGCTGGGAGTTACGCCTAATACTGAAAGGTGGTACTGAGTAAGTCCCTAATTTTCTCTCTGCTAGAATATGGCTAGCATTCTGATCCACTTTGTTAGCATCCACACAAAAAAGGAGCAGTTATTTGCGTAGAACAGGAGTTCATCACGGTGGGTGACTCATGTGAATGTTCACACAGTGTATGCACATAAAGCATATCACTCCAGATTGGGTATGTTTCTCCTTCTGCAGTACCCACAGTGGTTGCATACATATTCCATCTTCTTTCATACTCAGCATATACTAAAATTAAGCATGCCCAACACCATTTCAGTCCCTTCCCAACCACAAACCTCATCACTGAGAAGTACTCAGGGGGACTCTAGGACCACTTTTAACCATATTTTGAACAAGCACCCTAGTCATCCTATTGCTTGAATCTTAAGAATCCTTTGTGTTAGTTAATGCAGGACCATTACAGCAAGGGCCACATCCGATTTGATACTTCCATAATGGCATAGTGCTTGATAAAGGTAAGGAGATGTCATTTGGCGAATGTCTCTGTGAACTCTGCAGCTTCATTTTGGAGATATGTTCTAATGAAAGATAATGACTATGCTTCACGAAGCTCTGAATGTGTGTTGACGCAACCTGTCAAATTTTTAAACAGTCTGCATATGAAGATGGCTGGTTTTTTGGGTCTGCCGACTATCAATAATAACTTGAGAATCCTTTGAAGGACCTGTCTTGTTTATGTGCTCTCTTTTCATACCAATTGATGGAAATAAACTTTTGAAGGAATTTATAAAAGGGCTTGCAAGGAAAGCCTTTTATAGAGGGCATCATATAGGAGCATTGATTGAAAGGGCCTGAATATCTCATACATATCACCACTGAGAAGATGACAATCATCATCACACAAAAAAAACGAATTTGCAGCTGACACCTTGAAGAGCAGACACAAGATTCTTTAGCAGCAGGTTCAAGCTCCACTCTGAGACCAGGTGTTTCACAAGTGAGAACATTTTAGTCTCTTGAGAAGCTTTGACACAGTAGAGAAGAAAACATAGAAACTCCTTGTATCAGAAGTTGATGAACTGAGGCAGCCTCTAACTGGTCATCAGCGGGGCTAAAAGAGAGGCAGGACTACTTTTAGCTCCAGTGAGTAAACCATAAGTATCAGGGAGAAGCTTTAAAGGGAAGATACAGGCTTACAAGAACACCAAGCAGGGAAGTTCCAGATTATGCAACTTGTACAGCTTTTTCTGTCCTTGGTGAGAAGCTCTTTCATTTCAAATGAGCAGACATGTTTTATTTATGAAAGGTTCCCAGTCTTCAAGACATGAAGTATAGCATGACGAAGATGGAGTAAGGAATGCAGCTGTAAATGCTGCAATTGCAAGTCTGTGAACAGGGGGCAGAGTCTTCAGCTCCAGCACTTACAAGCTATCGGGTTGTCTCAGTGAGCTGTTTATTCTAGGAGCAATATATCCATGACGCTAATCTGGATGGCAAGGAAAATGAAAGGGCATACTTCTGCAAGTATTGGACAGATCCTGCTAATATTACAGGAAATAACTCACCTCCCTGTCATAAGATTACTCATATTCTAAGGAGATATCTGCAACATACGTCTCGCAACCATGTCTGCAAGTCTCATGTGATGTGAAGCATCACATTGGTATGACAATGCCATGCGGCCTAGAGGCAAGATTTCACAGTGGTGATGTCCAAGTGGACTGAGAACTGTTATCTCTTGATGATCCATTTGTTAGCCAACTGTTCAAGTGTGCAAATAAAGAGGACCTATTCCATCTGAGCTGAGTGTCCACCACTTCTAAGACCTCAGTTAAACAAACAGCACTCAACATAGTGAAAAAATTGAATGGAAGAGACCTTTTAATAATGGTTCTCACTGACAATGAAATGAAAGCATTTCTTGGGGCTGTATGAAAAGAAATATCTTTAAATACATGAGGTATGAAACTATTCCTCTCTATAATAATTGAATGTCAGCAGATATAGTCCCCATCTTGAACTTAAAAAGGAAGAATATTTAGATTCATAGATAGACAATCAGTTACCAGCCTCCTTTCCTCTTCTGTATCAAAAAATATCTGCTGTTAACGTCTCGCTCCTGTGCTGCACAGTGACAGGTTCTACAGATCGGAATAACAACAGAGAGCCTCCTTCTCAACAGCTGGTCTGGGGAGACTGAAATCCAATGCCGTCAAGGGTAACAAAGGAGAAATCCAGCTGAGGCCTGATCCTGTGAAAGGCTGGGTATTTGGATGGAGTCTTGAAGGCGCTGACATTTATTTTGAGTGACATTACCAAGATGGACAGCGATCTGAAGAAGATTCCAGAGAAGAAAGAACTTGCCTCCATGATGAACACTCACAGTCCATCAAAGACAAGAAAATAAGCTGTTTCTTACAGTACACACCAAGTGCCAATGAAGAAGTCTGGTGCCAGGGGAATTTTTGATGCTAAACAGAAGTATCTGCTCCACTGATAAGCCAGAAAAGATCATGCCATCCAATGACCCTTAAAGATGCCAGGAAGTGGTGAGTTAGATGAGATTTCTAGTTCTTTCACCATCAAATAGGGTGACTACGTTAGTTTCAAAAGTGGTGCTAAAGAAAGCATAATGATAGTAAGAAAAATGAGGCTGGATTAATCTCATTCAGACCCCATTCGAAGAGGCACTTCAGTATTCAGTGAAGATACAGAGCATTTACAGTAATTTACCTGAGACTTCACAGATACCCTGCAATTGCAACTGGCTGGCTCAGTGCCAGAACAACGATACCAAAAGATTGGTCAGACGTCTTGGGGCACAGAGGCCTTGTGTCAGTCCAGACAGAACGGTGAAGGGGAGCAGGAACAATGTTTTCTGGATGGTGATTTTAGGTGACCAATCTGTAAGAAGAGGCTTAGGTTTGAAAACTTGGGTTGGTGCCAAATACCAAGCGGCACATGCCGAACTAATAATTTGTGACTCACAAAAGCTATATGACCCAGGATTTAAAAAGTAACCCTTTTTAGGGGCTCCCTAGGGGAATCCTGGCAGATCTGGAACATTATCAATCTGGAGCCTGAAAGTCTGGAATAAAGTACAATGGCTAGTCACACAATCCTTTTGAAGACAAAATAAGAATCTTGCAACTATTTCAGTAGACGATAGCAAGCCATCACACATTGCACAAAGTGGAGTAATGACACAGCAACTAACCACTGAGGAGGAAAGCACATGGCTGATAAAAAGGCCAAAAAAAGTTCCTGAGGACAGTACTGAAAAATGCGGAACAACTAAATTGTAGGAGAAATTTTCAGCACCCAACCACTCTGTCTTAACAAGCAAAAAAAAAGGAAACAGTATTATAAAGATCCCGTCCTATGTAGTCTCATTCTGAGCACAAGAGAGGACAGTGAGTGAACAGACACACACACACACACACACACACATACACACACACCCTGAGGAGACCTGTAAAAGGAAAAAGTTGTCCAGCCTTAAGTAATAGAACAGGAGCAATTTCACAAGTGTATACACAGGCGGACTCTCACTTAGAGACAATTTAGTGGGCATGGCTTGAGGCTTAAGTGCTGGCCTGTTTAAACTCCGAATTACCCTGTCTTTGAGAACGTTTGCTATGTGGATGCTCGGAATCTTAACCTTGAAGCTCAGTGTAGTGTTAATGTGTCCGTGAAAACAGGCTTGAAAGAGTGCAGGATTCAGATATATTCAGATTAATTTTTGGCGTGAAAATAACTGTGTATACTTCTTACATGTAATAAGGTGGCAAGATGAAAAAGGAAAGAGAACTACAGGAAACCAGTTACTGCCTGGATCACTTTAAAGAAAATGTCCTTTTCTACCTTCAGTTGTAGTTGCATTCACATTCATCCATGGTGAACTGTACAGAAGGACTGGCAGAACAAAGCATATTTTTTCCTAGGGCTAGTACTAAAATCATAATAACTAGGAATATATCTATTATTGAAACAGCATGTTTATTGATACAAGAACTGTGCCTGTGGTTGATACAATCTGCTTACAAAAGGCAAGAGACAATTGTCTGATAAAACTATGAGAATACAATTTTGAAAACCTTTTAATCAGATCTTGAGTACTAGATAATACCAATAGCCCTACAAAGTAATTCGTCTTCCATTCTAATTAATGTTCTAGTAACACTCAGTAAAGATAATTATATAATTCCTAATGCAGCTGTATGTCAGGTCAGCGCATTACTACACTCCCTTCAACTGAGGATCCCCACACAGAAGCTGATGAACTTCTCAGAATCAAGGGGAAGAGACTCCGTGTCGTAGTACACTCACAAGAGCCTAATGCATTAGAACTAGAGATGTCAGATTCTGAATTCTATTGTCAATAACTTGTTCAAAAGCATAGCACAAACAGTATTTCCAGGACAAGAAATGCCTTAAGATAAATATCCATCTGCTTGGTAAGGCATACGACAAACTGCTGAAGAACAGTTTTTCTGAATTAATGGAAACTGCTTACCTCGTCATAGTAAGCTCTCAAATCAGCTCTTTTAGATCGTAAGTCCCAGAGTACGACAGTCCCATTTTCATAGCCTATCAATAGCTGGAGGAGGGAAACAAACACAGTTATAGTTTCAGATTCAAAAAGTATGTACAAATATTGAAGAACTTCATGGTTTTAAGAGATTTTAAAAAATAAGCACTATAAAAAGAAATGCCAAAATGATGTTCAAGATTGTAGTTTGCACTACACATAATGCCCTGCTTTCAAACTATCTTTCAGTATAAATTACTTCTCATTACTGGCAATTTAAGATCTGATATGGAAGAAAAAATGTGCTTTATATACCTTTTTCTCTTTCTTAGTTTTTTTTCTGCAAGATTATGTGCCTGGACAGTCTCCACAATTGCATATCTGGGGAGAAAATAAGACCGTAGCGTTTTCCTGTCAGCTCTTACCTTCCTTGCCCCTGGTTGGAGGGAAAACTGTTTGACAGCTAAGAGGTCACTTAAATAACTTCAAACCAAAGAGTCACCAGATTAAACTCTCATTCAGCTACTTACATTCCTTTAATTTCTGCTTTCTATTGCTTTGAAACATTTTGAAGAACTCCCCCTGCAGAGAATAAATTGCTTGATTTCCTAGAAATTGAAAATAAATTAACTGGTATGCCAATTTTTACTTCTTCTAGAACTGGTATGTCATATCATCACACACACCTGAGAAATACCAACAAAGAAGGTTTGTCAAAAGATGAAAGAGAAGAAAAACAATGCTCAGGAGAAAAATAAGATTGAACACAATTCTTTCCCCTTGTCTCTATTGAAAAGAACTGAATTGATCTGGCACTGTATTGAGTACTCTTCATTTGAACACAATTAATTTCAGGTATCATGGAAGATGTGAAGTCTAGCCTACTTAGGTCTCTCTAGAAATTGCTTCCCACAGAGCCTGTCTTCCTAAGAATCTATCCTAGACATGAAGACTGGGAATGACCAAACTGGCAGACCCACACCTTTCTGCTATAGAATACTTCATACAACTGGCAGTGATAACTGCAGTTGTTCTTTGTCCATAAACACATGGATCACAGAATGCAGGCAAGAATTTACAGTTTATGTATTAAGAATTTAAGCAGAAGAATGACAAGACTATCTCTTAGTCTGGGAAGCCTTACCAGCATCTTTGCTATCACTCACTTTAGCTTGCATAAGTCATAAAAACGAAACTTTAGCTGGACTGCTAAACAAAACACCACTTTGTTTCCAAGTTAAATATAATTGATACATCAATACTGCTATAAAAGAGTCTGGGAATACTCTCAATCCTACTAGATACAATTCTTTATATTGCCAGGAGAATATTCATTATGTGGAGATGTATTACCTAATCTGGGAATGATTTATAGCTAATATATTTAGTACCTGAATATGGACAATACCTGATTACTTAAGAATTCTGCTCCTGAAAACAATTCAAACTGTCCTGGAGAAATTCCAGAATATTTATCATTTTTGCTCTGGATGAATATTTATCATTTTTGCTCTGGATGGGTCCATATGGGATTCTGTGGCAGAGTAGATGTGAAAAGACATCCTGTTCAGAAAGCACGCAGCTAACTGGATAGCACTTGTGTCAGGATGCCATATGTTATTCTGGGATAATAAATTGCCATTGAGAGAGTGAACAAAGAATTGTCTTACTGCAACTGCTTTCGCTGTTAGTGTAGCGATCCTAAATGGAAGACAATTGTATATCCAGGAGTTAGCGATCCACACAGCAGTTAACCTGCACTTGGCTTTCAGGCCTGTGCTGTGCTGCCCATATTCCTTGGCCACAAGATAAACTTAGCTGGCTAATTGTAAAGAAGTCTGTAGGCAGCTCCCACTTGGTAAGGGCAATTACAGCACCTTTGTGTCTCTGTCTTGACCTTAATGTAAGGCAGTGTGTTCTTATGTGAATAACCTTCTGCTTGACAGTAGAAATGAATAGATTTAAAAAAAAAAAAAAGAATCTCTTGAAATCTCTAAAGACCAAAATGCTGGCAAACCTCTTCACAGAGGGGACCAGCACAGTGTGCTTGGGGTTCCCACCATCTGAAGGAATGTAAGATTATCTTCTTTTTCCTTTTCGTATTAACTCCAATAAATGGTATTTTAATCAATATGTTATGGAGTCTGAGTGCCTTCCTTACTATCATCATAATAAGCACTTCCACCAGTGCATTACAGCTGGGTACCAAACCAGTTGAGTTCAGTTCATATCTACCAGTATTCTTTTCACCCCAGCTTTTGTACAAATACATTCAGGAAAGTGAAGGAATAGAGATGTATTTAGTATGTGACCCTGTTTCATAATAAGCCTTTTTCCCTGGTGAAGCAGGTTTGTCTTTTGATTTTTATCACTCTCTTTTGCAAAGATATCACGCTCCAAGTAATTACTAAAAGGTTAAATACCTCCTATCAGAGACAGCATTTCACCTGATCTATTGCTGAAATGCTTAATGTACAACAGCACTACAGAATTGCAAGATACAAAGTGCTGTGATTTCAGGAAAGAAGTTGAAAGATAAACAGATTTGCTGCATAGCTAGGAATCTCTCTCTCTCTCTTTGCTCAGATGGTAGCCATGCTGCTAAACTACTAGCACTGTGGCATGATACTAAAGTCAAAATTCCAGCTGGGTGAATGTGATTAGTCTCATTGCCAGTATATTTATGATGCTCTGAACTCTGACCTGTCTGAACCATAGGAAACTCAAATATTCACACTCCTCTTGGCCATGGTGAGCACTAGAGATATCTATAGGACAAGCTCTATGTCTGTAATATTCAATGAGGTCAAAAATACAACATCCATAAATGCAGTTGGAGGAGAAAACATAGACAAAGAAGAAAAATATGTGTAAAAAGAGTCAAGGAAGTAAAAAACCAAAGATTTATCTTCAACTTGCGTTTCCTGGCACCTTGTTTAATTACTCATGCTTAACCAGGTTAAGAATCATGCAGAAGGCTGGACGGAATTTGAAGGAGGGAGGAGTCCTGGCAAGATCTTCCTTGTCTAGTGAAGTTGCTCCACATTTTGACTTAACAAATCCTTCCTCATGAAATGCTTTTGATGATGGTGTTTTAGGGAGATTTCTCCTTTACAATCAACTATTTGCATCCTGGTACATGCCAGCCAGCCCCTTACTTGTCCTGGTAGCACAAAACAGCTGGGAGAAAAAAACAAGCCTGCCAAATGCACATTGTAGTTAGGTGTTATTAGACCTCAGAACACAGACTCAGAAATAGGAAGTTTAGTCCACCAGCTAATAGTTAATAACATTAAACCTTTTCCTATTAAGCTTTCTCCAGTTGCTGGGAAACTGCAGATCATTGCAGTTAATGTCTTCTCCTGTGTCAGCAAGAAAAATCATGTTTGCTACAGATCTGCCACTTACAAATGTCTGTGCACTTCAGTCTGTTCCTAATGCACACTTATTCATTGATTTGGCAGACGCCGTTATATTTCATGGACTTAATCACTAGGTCTCCAAATTGTTCTTAAGTGACACATTAAATGCCCAAATTCTCTTTGTCGTCTGTCTTCCAGCCACAGCTTGCTAAGTTCATAAAAGAGACTGTCTCCAAAGTCTGCCCTGATAGTTTGCCTGGGGGCACTCTGGAAAACTTCTGAATGGCAGAAGTCTTCTGGAATGACATTCATTCTTTTGGCACAGAAAAACTGGTCATCAGTCACTGATATAAACTGGAACTTTTAGGAATTTAAAGAATTTTTAAAAGATTAAGTCAGGACACAAATTTCCCTGGCTTTCAAAAAGAGGTCTTGATTGTCCTAGATTTGGAAAGTTTTATCTGTGTTTTAGGACTCTCAGGCACTCAGTGCCCGGAGAAGAATGCTACTTATTTACTTCAGCAAAACATGCCCAGATCTGTAAACAACTTTGTGATAGCCCAGAGAAGGATATACCACTGGACCTTGCAGAATACAATACCCTTATACTCGTAAAGTACAAGAATATCTGTATTTTGAGCAAAGATTATGACTGATTTGTGCTCACTATTTAATTCCTGAAGCATAGGTAAAAAACACTTTCATCTGCTGCCCCCCATGAAGTGATGTGAGGAGTCTGATTTCTCCCACCAACACCTCTTGGTGGTCTTTGGTTAAATTGAAGCTGAGGAGCTAAGCAGAGTATGTAGAACTATCTTGAAACAGCTCTATTACTTAAGAACAGATCTACTAAGTTAAATAAAAGGTCTGCCTATCACAGTATCTTCTGCTTCAGTGGCCAAGAGCAAATACCAAAGAACAATATGTGAGGAGGGCAAGTGCTTACCATAGTCTCACATATTCTCTCAGCCTAAGTAATTTTCTCATTCAAAGGCAGCCAGCTTCTCAACTAGACACGACTCCATTTAACCTCATCTTTAATAACCTTTCAGGAATATCCAGCAAACCTCTTCAGTAAACCTCGAACTGATTTCTCTTGTGTCAACTTTGCTAGTCTCCCTTGTGACCAATATACATTTTCAGCACCCACAGCACCATTTGGAAAAAATTTTATAGCTTCTACCCATTGCACATTCGAAGAAGTACTTAATTGGCTTGTTTGGAATCTGACTTTTGTCAGCTTCATTTGATATCCTTTTAGGTTTTGTACTGAAAGAGGTTACGAACTGTTTCTACCCTCTTCATAACAATTGTGATTTTCAAACTTGGAATCATGATCAGCTCTTTTCCACAATGAATTGTCCTGTCTGACTTAGTTGTGTCTCATATAGAAAACCTTGCCCCTTCTCTGAATTTCTTTTAGCACAATTATGTCCTTTCTGAGACAGAAGTACAAAAATTATACTCAGTATTCAGCAGGCAAGTCACCCATGCATTTATGCAATAGCCCTGTTTTGTTCTCTGTTATTCTCCAGATAATGCCTAATTTTGATTTTCTTTATCGGTCACTACTGAGCATTGAGCTGACATTTTCATTGAACTATCAATCATCACTCTAAACTCTTGATACCAAACAGTAATGATCAGTTCAGACCCCATTGTTTTATATGTAAAGTCAGAAATATTTTCCCCCCCACATATCACTTTCCATCATTTGCACTGAATACTTACAAAAGACAGTATTTAACCTGCCATTTTACTGCTGAGTTTCTCAGCCTCCTGAAGTCCAGCAAACCTGATCACATCACTGCTTACTCTCTTTCCTAGGTTGTTTATGACTATGCTAAACAGCAAAAGTCCCAGAAGTATGGGGTTTTTTCATTTTTTTCCCCACTCTGAAGAAAGATTGTCTTATTCTTCATTCTTTCAACAAAAGTTTAACGAGACTTAGTTGAAAAATTTAATTTTTTTCTCTACTCTTGGATTTTTTGATCTGGAGCTATGTCTTTTGATTTAGTGCTTGGATCTTCTCTTACATCTCCGTGTACCTTTTACTGATATCTTCCTGTAAACATCAAACACTATCAATTCCACATTCTGCAAATCTGCAAGTATTTTGTTAGCACCAATTTGTTCTTTATGCCACTCTCAATCTATCAATGACATAAACAGCTGCACTGGGATGGTTTCACTATGGCTTACATTTTCTACTCTTTTCCCCCATAAATTTCCAATGTTTGTTTTTCATAGAGATCCATCTGATTTTGCTGTTGCTGTTGTTGTTAGTATGCTAGTACTTCATCAGTGCCCAGATGTCTCCAATGTGCCCTCTGAGCAACAAGCAATTGTACTTCCAAGTAAGTTCTCCTCTAACTCCTTTTCCTGAGACCTTTTCATCTTCTCTCTTTTACTGAAGCAAAAATATGTTAGGTTTCTGTTTGGACATGGTCCATGCCATTCCTGTAAGAGATGTTCACTCACAAGACCATTTTTTCTTTTAGTATCGTATCCTTTTTCCCCACACTGTGTGCTTTAGGTAGTTCATCAACAGCTTCTGTTGTGGTCAGTGAACAAGAGCTATGCCTCATCAATAAATCTTTATTTTTATAAGGCATTTTACCATAGGTCGTTAAATAGCATTTCTTGATGGCTTCTGGTTCGAGGCTAAAACACTACACTTCATAGCATTTAATTACTTTATTTGCTGTATTCTAAATTGCTTGATCTATTGTGATTCTTCCAAAAAGCCTTAGAGATCCAGTCTTGTTGGAGGGCTAGCTGGCAAGTGCATCATTTGCACATAGTTCACCTTGCAATATGGATAAGTCCAAGGATGGATAATGCAAATGAAATTCAGATGTAGTCATCAGTAATCTTCTAGGTACCCATGTTAATTTCAGCATAATATCAACCATATCAGTATCAGAAATTCAAACTGCTGCTAGTTTCCAATAATCATCAGCTGCTATGTGAGGCATACTGTCAAACAGATACACCATTTGTAAGACGCAGTCCTTTATAAATACACACTGAAATGCAATTGGAAAAAGTGATCAAAAATGATGAGATAGTTAAATGCCCCTTCCACACAGGCAAAAAGCTCAAAAATTCAGTAGCAACATATAAATAAAAGAGCTCTAATAAAACTGGTATTCTGGCAACCAAATTTCATTTTCGAAAAGCTAGCATACAAATAAAGCCAACTCAGATTTTGCCTCCCGATGGTATAAATCATGACCCTAATGCTCTGACTATATGCTTTGCTTCCACTTGTTGACAGCTCTTTGCTATTCTCAACTCTGTTCACAAACAGCAGCAAGTTCCAAACATGGGTTACTACCATTATTATTCTTGTATAAGAAATGACTTATTATCTTATGAAAACTTACTATAATGCCTTCATAATAGCATGTTTATCCAAGTACTGAAGTCATGATACAGTTTTTACTCAATTCTTCCTGAAGTAAAACTCAAGTTTATTTCATCAGGAACAATTTTGATTGGCTATAGGTTTCAAAGTACAGTATGTTGTCTGTATCATAGATTTTTACTCATTAAAATTGTACAAAGAGAATTTTTTTCTTAACCGTAAAATAGTAAAAGTGACCTTGCAAACATATAAAGCAAGCAGATGATAAAATTAGTGAGTAAGCAAAAAGAAAGAGCTATCAAGGCAAAGAAAGGCTATGAAATGTTGCAATGTTTTATACCATTAGTTGTACTCACTTTTCCCTCATCTCTTGGGCTGTCACTTAAATGTACAACTGGCCCAGGGTGAGTCTTTGTGGATCTGCAAGACAAAAATCAATTCAAATCTGTGAATGTTTTTTGTATGAAGAGCTAGATGCTTACCTTAATTTCTAGGTGTGTTAACATGTACCTCCAATGGTTTGAAAGTCATTCTAAAAAAGATCAACAAGGGAAGATAACTATCTGAAAGTTATCCATATCTTGTCATGTTCTCCTCCATTTCCTTTTTGCTGTTACAGGCAAAGATTCTCCTTTGTTGATGAATCCTTTCTTCTATTTTTTAAAATCTCACTATTCCTCCTATTACAGTAATTTTTCTTTCTCTCATTTCTAAAGCTTTTTTGCCTTTTTTGTTGTCGACTCCCTCTCTTTCTGCCCACCCTCCTCACTTGCTCAATTTCAAGGCTAATCTGCCAAGGATTTGCAAAGTCTTCACTGGATTCATTTCAATTACCGATAACAAGCCTCACCAAGTTCCAATCTCATTAATAGCAGGGCTTCAGTAATCTCACCTACACTGCTCTACCAGGTAGCTTCTTAGCATTACTGCAGTGGGGTTTCCAAAATGGAACATCTTGCCTTTGTCTATTTTGTAAAGCCTTATGACATCTTCAGACCAACTAATACAGTTACACCCACAATGCATATTCAGTGAGGCTCCTCAGCCATAAGACTCATCCCATAAGTCTTCATAAGCCTCTATAAAGATTACTAATTGTTCTTGCTGTCCCCTCTCTTTTTGTAACATGTACCAACAACATAGTATGCAACTTAGTAGAGGGACTGCTGCTTAGGTCATTGCTGTCCAGCACCTGACAGCAAATGCAAATCATAGGAAACAGAATGGACAGATGAAGATTTTTTCAACTGTCATCTCTTCTGACCAGACCCTTCGGCCCTGGCAGTCATACAGAGCAAGATGACAAACACCAGTCGACAAAGCTTTGCATGCCTACACGGAACAGGACCTTTCTTCCATCTAGGTTCTGGTTCAGCGCACATGTCCCTTGGAGTTCAGCTTAGGATCTAGACATGCATGGTTGGTCTTGGTTCACCAAAGGTCACCAGGAAAACAAATATGGCAGAGATTGGCAGAGCCCGTAAAGCTAAGAATTCATCTGGAAGCCATACCTAAAACTACCTAGGCTCCAAGTTGAAAAACAATCTGCAAGAGAATTAAAGAAACAAACAAAACCAAGGTTCTCCAGCCAAAATGCTCAAAGGATTTTCCTAAATCAACAGTGTTCCTCTTCCTTTGGCTCAAATACTGCACTATAGCAAAACTGGCCTCTGTTCTACCAGGTCAGACTCCAAATCAAGATTGAGAGTGGTATGCAAAAATTCCCAGGCAACTCAGACATTAAAATACTGTGGAGTAATCCATATCCTCATAGTCTCCTCCTTTCCAAAAGAGTATGCTCCAACAGCCTTGAAAGCATGCACACTTTCCTCTGGCCTCTATTTTTTGCCCATAGAATGCTTTAAATATTTCAGCTATTTGGTCATGCACCAAAGCTGGGCCAAAGCAGGGTGGCAAAGACCTTGTCTGATATTTACCTCTGAGCTAAAGACAATGAAAAATTACTCCAGACATCCTTAGACCTTCCAAACTAAGTTTATTCCAGGCCAAAGAGATTGAAAACTTCAAGCCACCTAAAGGCCAGACAACCTTCCAAGACCGTACCCCACCCCTTCACATGTATTTTAACATTACTGCTAGCTGCATACACAAAGCTAGTTGCAAAGTGGCAAGCCCCTTCCTTGGTGAACCTTCTCCATGAGATGATCCCATACCACCATCTTCAGCTTTGGCAGATCATATTTCCACAGATACCTGCAGCATGCTACTTTTCTACATGAGGTCTCAGTGAGCAAGGCTTCTGCAAGAGCATTTTGCAACATATCCCAGCACAGAAGTGAGATCAGTCAGCAGGAAAGCAGTGGACAGCCGGTAATATTCTATACAGACAGTCTTTAATGGTGCCAGCAGCAACTACCCATTTGGCTTGAGACATGGCACACAACAATTTTTGCAGAGATGCAGTTAGCGGGAGATCTGGCTGTCATTTCTATACAAGCCAACTCCCCAGAGGGGACCGCTCTGGCTGAGCTTCTGCTTCTGAGTAACCTGCACTGGCATAAAAAAAATCATTTCCACAGCACCAGACCTTGGAGCAGGCGTGGTAGGTAGGCAGTGATGGGCAACTGAGGCGTGAGATGAGGATATTTGCAAGCAGTGCTTAGACCCACACGTCTTGTACAACTTGTACACTGGACTTTAGTAAGGCCTTTGACACTGGCTCCCACAGCATTCTCCTGGAGAAGCTGGCTGCTCACAGCTTGGATAAGTGCACTCTCCGCTGGGTTAAAAACTGGATGAATGGCCGAGCCCAGAGAGTGGTGGTGAATGGACTCAAATCCAGTTCGCGGCCAGTCACGAGTGGTGTTCCCCAGGGCTCAGTGCTGGGGCCGGTCCTGTTCAATATCTTCATTGATGATCTGGATGAGGGGACTGAGTGCATCCTCAGTAAGTTTGCAGATGACACCAAGTTGGGTGGAAGTGTCGATCTGCTGGAGAGTAGGAAGGCCCTACGGAGGGATCTGGACAGGCTGGATCAATGGGCTGAGGCCAACTGTGTGAGATTCAACAAGGCTCAGTGCTGGGTCCTGCACTGGGGTCACAACAACCCCATGCAACGCTACAGGCTTGGGGAGGAGTGGCTGGAGAGCTGTCTGGCAGAAAAGGACCCGGGGGTGCTGGCTGACAGCCACCTGAACATGAGCCAGCAGTGTGCCCAGGTGGCCAAGAGGGCCAATGGCATCCTGGCTTGCATCAGGAATAGCGTGGCCAGCAGGACCAGGGAGATGATCGTGCCCCTGTGCACTGGTGAGGCTGCACCTCAAGTACTGTGTTCAGTTTTGGGCCCCTCACTACAAGAAGGACATTGAGGTGCTGGAGCGTGGCCAGAGGAGGGCAACGAAGCTGGGGAAGGGTCTGGAGCACAAGTCCTGTGAGGAGCGGCTGAGGGAACTGGGGTTGTTTAGTCTGGAGAAGAGGAGGCTGAGGGGAGACCTTATCGCTCTCTACAACTGCCTGAAAGGAGGTTGTAGCAAGGTGGAGGTTGGTCTCTTCTCCCAGGTAGCAAGCAACAGTACAAGAGGAAATGGCCTGAAGTTGTGCCAGGGAAGATTTAGATTAGATATTAGGAAAAATTTCTTCACGGAGAGAGTGGTTAGGCATTGGAACAGCCTGCCCAGGGAAGTCGTGCAACCACAGTCCCTGGGAGTATTCAAAAAACATGTGAATGTGGTGCTTAGGGACATGGTTTAGAGGTGGTCCTGGCAGTTAGGTTAACGGTTTGACTTGATGATCTCAGAGTTCCTTTCCAACCTTAATGATTCTATGATCTGTCCTCAGGGAGTGAATATGACATCTTGAGATGTTCTAGCCTGCTTTGAACTTTGTTTCTGACATAGGTTCACCTTTTTGAACTGGTCAGAGTATGCTGATGGAAAGAACTAGGTCTGTTTGGGGTACATGCTGCCTATGCCATGATGGACAAAGGAGGAAGGATAAGGATAAGAGGAAAAACTGTGAAGAGAAGAGGCAGCATACGAAATTTTACTTTTTAGCCAGATAAGAACCACTGACAGATGACAGAAGAGGGAGCAGAGCCAAGCAAACATCAGGCATGACTAATCTGGCAACAGACAAAATGGTGGAAGGAGCACACGCAGGCTGACAAGGCATACTGGTTTTGGCCAGTTATCCCAGCCCACTGAACCAACCAGTATGCAGGCTGGGTCGCTTGGCCATACCAGTATTGGTATTTGACCAGGAATAGTGGCAAAATCAGGGAAAATGGAGGGAGAAAGGGAAAGAGCATACTGTCTTTCTAAGCTAAAGGTTGACCCTATCTAGGCTGCTCTTTGTACCTACCAATTTTAAAAGTCAAGAACAATTTAATAAATCTGTGCAACAACGTTTTCTTTTTAAGATATATATGTCATTGCTTACCAAAGAATGTATCCATTTGTCTTTGAGTAGAAGCAAACTCTTACATGAGCTGTAGTCACTCTATATTACATCAAACTACATTATACTTTCATTGTTGCACAAACTCGTTGTTCCTCTGTAAATCATACAAAACCGTTTTTTCCTACCAGTCTGATTTTTATCTTATATTCTTGCAGGGGCGTAGCCTCAGATTTCCATGCTAAGACCTCAGCTAAAAGAGGTAACCTTCACTAATACAATACATTTTCCTACCTCCTCCATTTCTCTGTCTTGAATCTACTGTAAACAATAGTTGGAGGATCCTGGGAGGTTTGCATCCCGAAACACTGTAATAAAACTTCTTTTTGCTTTTCAGGATATTAGGTACTTCTTGTTTCTTTTAGGAGTATTATTTTTTTTAAATTAGGTTCCTAGCTATTTCTTTAGTTTTGTTGAGTAAGAGCTTCATATACATTATCAGCAAAGTTGATACCAACCACAGCAGTCTGTGCACTAAATGTATGAGCTTTTATTTTTCCTCATTCTTTTTCCTCTATATTTGATAGAAGTATTCTCTTAATATTTATATTATCTTACTCCTCAGTATGTTAATAGTTTAGTTGTCTTGTATTATAAGGGACTTGGTCAGGCTTCTTCCATTTTCTTCCATTTTTATTATTTTAGACTGTCAGGTATGTCACTCTACCAAAAGACTCAATGAACCATTGCTTTGCTTTCACACGCACATCACCAGTCTTTGGTTCCATTCTTGTTAGCTCTTTAATGTCAAATATTGGATGTAGGTGTCAAGGTGTTGGCAGTGGGGAGATACAGGGGGGTGTTTGTGAGGAGAGGATGGGGCTGCCCCGTGCCGGACACAGCCAAGGTGGTGGCACCTCAGGGAAAACAAATTTAAGAAAGGGCAAAAAATACTGCACAAACAGTGAGGAAAAAAGTGGGAGAAACAGCCCTGTGAGCACCAAGGTCAGCAAAGGAGGAGGGGAGGAGGTGCTCCAAGCACTGGAGCAGAGATTCCCCTGCTG